AGAAAGGGTGCTAACACCTTCCCTTTCTATAACCCACCTCCCGAACCGAGAGCAATCTCTATAAGGAATTTTTATGTGCTTTTGTCCTTTCCATTTGGAGAAAATAAAAGACGGTGGCGACTCTTGCTTCCGCGACATTTCGCGAATCAGCGTTAAACAGTCAGTTCCAGATCCACCGATCACAAGGGGCATGTCAGCTGAAGACCTTAAGCACGGACATGTTGCTTCTCCCAGTTAATGCTTTCCCAACTTCTTTACCCTTTTTTGGGGCAAAATTTGAAGACTTTGTTGTGCCAACTACAGTCAATCTGAGGCAATCACGTCGAGATTTGATGAATTCCTCTAAGAGTTTGAAGACACCAGAGCATGGTGAATTCCAGATCTTTTGTAAAATCCTCTTGAAGACGATTTCTCCTCAATCAACCAGATAGCTTGGGGCATGTTAGAAGTGAAGCTATTCGCAAGAATTGTCGTGCAACATGCAGCCCATCAGCAGTAAACTTGGGGCATCCAAAATTAGTCCCAGGGGCAATCCAGATTTGTCAAGATATGTGATATGTATTGCACACATTATCAGAGGGTGGTGTTCCCAGTATCTCCAGTTAAGCATGGCTTTTTCCAACTGAAACTTTGTTTATGTTGTTATCCTTTCAATGGATTGTTGGTGATAGAAGACTAGACTTTGGGTTATTCACCAAAAAATATCTCCCTCTCCAGAGATATTTAAGCCTTGTAAAAGGACTTTGCTCCAATGATGGCCTGTGTTCTATCTCCAGTAATATTCCCATCTTGTTGAGATTAGCCGTGTGTTGAGTTATACCGTGATGTCTTATCATCTCTTGTCTATCTCCTGTCTGTTTTGTCAGCATATACATGACATTCATTTATTCATTCACACTTGCATCATGCGCGCACATTTGTATTTGTTGATGTCATTGAGTTTGTATACCTCGGTTATGTCTATTCAAATAGTGTACTTGATCTTTCCAAATAGAGTGTCAACTTAAGCAGAAAGTGCGCCTCCTTTCTAATTCCCCACTGAGTTAACTCTCGTGGAAGAATCTTGCTTTACCTTTCCTTTTCCATCTCTGGATAGGATAAATCCCCATTTGAGTTGTTTCCTCATTGGGTGGAGTCTTGTTTGACTGTTTTCTCTCCTGTTTATTCCTGGATTGAGCTTTGTCTCTTGTGAATGATACCCTGTGGATATCTCTAGGCTATGAAACCTAGATGGAGAGTGAATTTATTTTGCAACGTAAATACTTGGTCTCCTCAAGAAGGATTTACTCATGGTTCCCCATTGAAGATGAACTTTATTCCCCAGCAGTGTTATCACAACCTTCTTCTGGAATATCGACATGACAACAAGCGACTGACTCTTTATTTGAGCAGTTTGATTATTTCTGATTTCTTTATGACAAATGGCGGTCTCTTCATGAGCAGTTTGTCCATCCCCGATGAAATTATTGGCTCTCACCTCCAGCAATATCTTCACGATATTTTATGGGTATCTTTTTGGGAAACAGCAAGCGGAAGTCTCTTCATGAGGCAACTTGTGTGTTATGGATACTCTTGACAAACAGCAAGCGGCAGTCTCTTCATGAGGCAACTTGTGTGTTATGGATACTCTTGACAAACAGCAAGCGGCAGTCTCTTCACGAGGCAACTTGTATATTATTGACACCTCGAAAAACGGCAAGTGGCAGTCCTTTCATGGGTAGCTTGTACGTTATTTTTTCTTTTAAAAACGGCAAGTGGCGGTCTCTTCATGAGCAGCTTGTACAGAAAACGGCAAGTGGCAGCTTCTTCATGAGCAGCTTGTACGTTAGTATTTTTGGAAGATAGCAAATGGCAGCTTATCTATTTGAGCAACTTGTGTGTTATTGTTCCCTTGAAAACGGCAAGTGGCAGCTTCTTTATGAGCAACTTGTGGGTTATTGGCAACAAGTGGCAGACTCTTCATGAGCAGCTTGTATGCTTTGATATTCTTTGAAGACAGCAAGTGGCAGCTTCTTTATGAGCAGCTTGTGGGTTTCGGCAACAAGTGGCGGACTCTTCATGAGCAGCTTGTGTGCTTTAATATTCTTTGAAGACAGCAAGTGGCGGTCTCTTCATGAGCAGCTTGTATGTTATTGACACCTTTGAAAGGAAGCAAGTGGCGGCCTCTTTGAGTAGCTTGTGTATCCCCAACAATAATGTTTACTCAGCAAATGGCATCCCTTCAGAAAAGTCCCATGGGGAAGTTTGTTATTTTATCCTTTTCAAGTGATATCTTGGTTAAAGAAGAAATGTGTTACCGTTCTTGGTAAAATTCAGAAATCAGAGATGTTTATCTCCAGCCACAGTGCTGATCATTTTGCTTTTCCAGTTACAGTACTGATGTAAATCATTACCTTTTCCAGTCTCAATACTGATGTAAATCATTCAAGAGTCTCTCATTTGAAGTCTATGACTTTGTTTCCCCAGTGGAGTTACAACCTTTTCCTCTGTGGGATTACTGTATAATGTGCTTGGTTTCTCCAGCATAGTCTGTCTCGTATGGCGTCATTCCCCATAAAATTAAGAGCATTACATTCATATCATATCATGAACATAATCGCGGTATCTTAAGGCCAAAAATTGTGTATTCTATATTTAAGTCCCTTCAATCTCGTCGAAATGAAGATCCCAATCTTCATATCTCCAGATAGAAGAAACTTAAATAGGGGCAGCTGTTGTACCCCAATTTTTGACCTAAGATCCCATTTTTATTTTTGCATTTCTTTAAGATAAGTCAAGGTCACGAAATACGGTCGGTTTTAACGTCTCACCTTCGAGCTTTGACTATGCGAAGATTGTCAAGTGTTTTGAACATTTTTAGCATATGTATCACTAATTTCTAATCGCATACAAAGGTGTATGTTCATGTTTTCTTTTGTGTCATGTGCAGAGACAGGTCTGAATCAAGAGCATCAGGTGTCGCGCCTCAATTAAGGTTTTGAGTCTCCCAAGCCAAAATTACGGTTGATTATGGACTCTTGAAGACTGATTCATCAACGCACAACTGTCGCCCCCCATTTTTCGCCCCTTCACTTTTTTCGACTGGTGCATATTTTGTCGTTAATTTGAAAAATCGATCATTTCGCATACTTTCTTGTTTTTATTCATCATTTTAATTTCTATTTAAAAAAAAAAGAATTAAAATAGTTTATCATTTGCATTTCCTATCATATTTCTAATGAAATTTTTTAGTTCAAAAATCTGTCTTATTATTATTATTATTATTTTTAATTATTTTTATCTATTTCTATTTCTTTTAGGTATTACTAACTATTTTCTCTTCTTCTCGTTATTGTTATTATTAGTAGTATCTTTATTGCATTTTATTATTTCATCTTTTATTGTTACTAATTATGTTTATTTTGTTCTCATTATTGTTATTATCATTGTTGCATTTTATTATTTTTATTTTATTGTTACTAATACTTTTTTTCTTCTTCCTATATTATTGTTACTATTATGTTATTATTTGTTTGTTTTTGTCAAAAATAGAGGAAAAAATTACAAATTACCACAACAATTTTACACAAGTGTTTGTACAAGAAAACAAAAATCTACACCCAAAGAAGAATTTACATGAAAGTGACCATAACAAATCTGCATCAAAAATCCAAAAAAAAGATTACCATATTAGTCCAAACTCACTAGAATTTCCCCCCCAAAACTCCCTCCAATTTCATCTCCCATCTTCTATAAAACAATAGGAGGGCAGTAGAGAAAAAGGGGGGGGATAAAATTAACAAACAAAATATTCCACACACAAAAACTCCATGTAAGATACACACATCACATAATTTCCAGAAAGTTTTCCTTTCATTGCTTACAACTTTTTGTACATAGTTACACATATTTTTCTAGTAGTTTTTCTAGAGTCCACTTCTCTTTTTGAGTCAAACCACCTGACCTCCTCTTTCAAATTCCTAAGTTTCTACATCTTTTGTGGCTTGTTTCAATTTCACGGAAAACTCACCACATCACTAAATTCTCTTCACAACCTTTATCTCTAAACCAAAAATATCAACATCATCAAAGGAAAAGAATGATTCACTTTTTTCTTCTAATTGCTAACTAACGAAAAGAGAAACAAACAATCACAATAAGCAAATAGAATATAAAAATTCTGGAAAAAAACTTTGTATTGTGTCCTTGACTGTTTTGCAGGAGAAAAAGAAGAAACAACCGTCCGATTTGCATCATTCAAACCGACCGCGACCCTTGCAACTCGTGCGTCTCAGCCGCTAACAGGCTCCGATCTCAATGGAACCACCGTCCCACCATCACCGTACCTTCATTCTGAATTCACATCATGCCATAGCCTATCCATACACAAGATCGCAGCCGTCGACCCACTCTGGTGCACCCCAGAGGCATCGTTGCAAACCCAGTTGTCACTGCTGCCAATCACCGTGTCGTTCACCCAATCGTCGCGAAACTTCACAACACTAACCTATACACTTTTCCTACTGTCTTTTCCGCCACCATAAGGCTTTCAGAATCCCTCAATGACATTGTTTTTGGGAACCTATTTTCTAATGTCAGCTAACAACTATTCATTGTAAATTTTGTGTCTTTGTTCACAGATTTTGATAGAACAAAATCAAAAGCAATGAATCCAAAGGAAAAACAAAATCAGAATAGAAGAAGAAACAAGTCAAGAACACCGACCACCACGTCACAAACCGGACCACTACGACTCCTGCTCCATAACAATCAACAACAACAAATCTGCTCAAACAAACCAAGTTCTCGATCACCGCAGTCATCACTACACACCTTTATTACCCGTCAACCACATCAATTCCCCATGTTTATTCAGGTTGGTGTTGAAGAGAAAAAAACAAACAGTAGAATCGCTGCTCTCACAACATAACCACCGCTGAAACTGGTTGCAGCCGCACCATCTCGCGACATCCACAGATCTGCCGGTAGCCGCCGTCGTACACCTTGCTTCATCGTTAAAATCAAAATGCCTCCAATGAAACCCCTGATTTGCTCCTGCACACCGCACCACCGCCAATCCCGGATCCGCTGCGCCACCCTATGTTAGAGTCGATCAACACTTTCATCAGGTTTGGTTTTGCTTTATTTATGGTTGTGGGTTTTCTTTGTCTCCATGGTTCTGTCTTGTAGCTTGCGATTTCATTAGGAATTTCTCTGTATGGTGAAAGGGAACAGTTCGTTTTGGGTTTAAGAAGAAGAGTAGTGTGGTTGAAAGAGAAAGAGGATATTTGTATTTGTGAAGGAAGAGAGAACGTGAAGAGATATGCAATCTCTTTTTTTGTTTCAATATATTTTCTCTTTTATTTACATTACTTGTTTTTTTTTAATTAATTACCCCTTGTCATAAGCTGATTGGCTGGAAGTTTGTTTGAAAAGTCAAAACAACCAAGCTCCATTTTTCTTCTCATTCTATAAGGTGGCGCATGTTTTAAGATAAAAAAAAAATATAAAAAATATTAGTAAATCTTATATTTAGATTTAGTTTAGTATTAATTTAGATTTTTTTAATTAGTTTAATTTTATTTTAGTAACTTTAGAATATTATTTCATTTGGATTTGATTTAGTAAATTTTAGAATTTTATTTGTTTTGATTTTATTTAGTAAACTTTAGAATTTTATTTTGTTTATTTTTATTTTAGTAACTTTAGGATTTTTATTTCATTTAGATTTGACTTAGTAAATTTCAGAGTTTTATTTGTTTTAGTTTTGACTTAGTAAACTTTAGAATTTTATTTCGTTTTATTTTTATTTTAGTAACTTTAGGATTTTATTTCATTTAGATTTGACTTAGTAAATTTCAGAGTTTTATTTGTTTTAGATTTGACTTAGTAAACTTTAGAATTTTATTTTGTTTAGTTTTATTTTAGTAACTTTAGGATTTTATTTCATTTAGATTTAGAATTTTATTTGTTTTAGTTTTAATTTAGTAAACTTTAGAATGTTATTTGATTTAAGTTAACTTTAGAATTTTAGTTGTTAGTTTTAGTTTAGGGACTTTAGAACTTTATTTGATTTAGAATTAGTTTAATGAGTTTATAATTTTTATTTGATTTAGAATTAGTTTAATAAGTTTAGAATTTTAGTTGTTTAGAATTAGTTTAATATTCTTCTAGAATTTTTTTTGATTTAGATTTAGTTTAGTAACTTTGGAATTTTTATTTGTTTTAGATTAAATTTAGTAACCTTAGAATTTAATTTAGCTTAGATTTAATTTGCTAATATCAAAATTTTAATTTTAGTTTAGATCTAGTGTAGTAATTTTAGAATTATTTTTATAACTTTAGAATTTGTAATTAGTTTAAAATTATTTTAGTAATCTTAGAATTTTTACTTAGATAATTAGTTCTATTTTCTTCTATATAAATATCTTTGTCATTTTAATTTCTCGATGCCTTTGGTCATTAGTCTGTTTCATTAGATTTGTTTTCTTGTGAATTTTCGAATGTTTATACTTTACTGATTCACCTTATTTTACTTGCTCAATCTATTCCAAGGGAAATGTTTCAACTCATCTGACTTCATGTCATCAAATACGTCTTCTACAATCGTGCGAATACCCTCATTCATTTTTTTGCTTATTTACTATTTTTCCAAACTTAAGATAATTCTCCCAAAAGACTCCATTTTCAAACTCATACCTTTTAAGTCAAAACTTCGACACTAGGTCATCAGTCTCTCCAACACCGATTTTTAGCCAAACGAACCATTTTAATCAAACAAACAATTTTAACCAAAAACAGATATTTCAAAAGGTTCCTGCGGAGTACCGCAGATGCATTGGGTGCTAATACCTTCCCATTGTATAACCAACCCCCGAACTCTCGATCTCTTTCAAAACACATTGTATTTTTATTACTTTTAAGTATTATTTTACATTGCATATCTTAGGGTTTTATTTCGCTCTTTTCCCTTTTCCCTTGGAAATAATAAAGCGCGGTGGCGACTCTTGCTTTTGTGAGTCAAGTTAATTAATAGCTTGATCTCCGATTTTCACCGCTACATAATTTCACCTCCGTGATCACTTCAGATTGTAACAATGTTAGTTTTAAACTTATTTTGGAACATCTTAGCAAACTTTTCAAATGCGGAGAAAGTGTCACTTTTGCTAGCCAAGAAAATAGTCCAACAAAATCTAGAGAAGTCATCTACTATAACAAAACCATAATAATTACCACCTAGACTTTTTATTCTAGAGGGTCCAAAAAGATTCATGTGAAGAAGTTCAAGTGGTTTTGTTGTAGAGATAATCTTTTTAGATTTAAAATAAAAAAAAATTTGTTTGCCCATTTGACATGCATCACATAAGTGATCTTTAGAAAAATTTATTTTAGGTAAACCAACAACTAGATCTTTTGATACAATTTTTTTTAGCAAATCAAAATTGACATGCGCGAATCGCCTATGCCAAATCCATGAGTCTTCACTCATGGAGACAAGACATTTAGCGCTGGTCAAAGATACTTCATTCAAGTAAAGCATATATAAATTATTAACCCTCAAACCTTTAAACACAATTTCCTTATCACTATTTTCAATTAAGCAACAATCTTTTGAAAAACAAACTTTATATCCTTTGTCGCATAATTGATTAATACTAATGAGGTTGTGTTTAAGACCCTCAACTAAAAGGACATCTGAGATAGTAGTAAAATAGGGATTACCTACACTTCCTTTTCCGAGTATAGTTCCCTTGTTGTTATCACCATAGGTTACAAAGCCCTTCTTCTTAGCCACAAAGTCAAAAAATAGGGAAATGTCAACCGTCATATGTCTTAAGCACCCACTGTCGAGAAATCATCTTCTCTCCGTAGTCTCAAGATATTCCACCTACAAAATCAAACAAGGGAAATAGGTACCCAATTATTATTGGGTCCTTGTGAGTGAAACATAGGTTGCCTTTGGGAAGCCATTTGAAAATGCCTTTAGGTACCAAGAATATTCTAAATCGACATTTTTTAATAGTGTGTCCCTCCTTGCAACAAAATAGACAAGCTGAGTCTTGAAATGAGTTACCTTTGCTTGATTGATCTCTTATTTGATAATAATATTTTTGATAGGGATTAAGCATGCTTTTCTAAAGTTTGATCAATCAATAGCAAATGTAACTTTGGGTTGTAAATCCTTGTCTAATTTAGCTTTAAGAACTTTAGTCTCTCTTTTCCAAATGTGACAAGTTTCACATCCATGCCAATTTTGCCAAGAGGTCTTGTCAATTTCATCTTTGTCTTTGATACTATCTATAATAGATGCCTTGAGAGTTTCCAACTCTTTTTTGGATTTGGAAACTTTATGCTCAAGGTATTTGAAAATCTTTTCATTTGAGGCTAAGCGTTCGAAAGCTTCCTGAGCCTCATGATGTAGAGTATTAAAGACATTTAGTAATTCAATATAAGACATATCATCAACATAATCATATTTAGAATGACTTACATTCTTTTTCTTTTTGTGATGCGCCATAAGACACAAGTTTTCAATTTCCTCTTCATCACTAGAGTTATCTTTGCTTGATAAATCACTATCACTATCCCAAGCAATGTAAGCTCTTCTAACTTTGTTTGGCTTCTTTTGAAACTTATCTCTTACTTTATTTTTCTTGAACAAGGGACAATATGGTTTGTAATGACCGGGTTTCCCACAATTGTAACAAGATCCTTTTGACTTATATCTCTTGCTTTCAAAAGGTTTGTTTGTCTTAGCTTGCCTTCTATAGTCAATGAGATTCTTATCCAAATGTTAGATCTCATTCTTCCGAAGATATCTATGTACTTCCTTATGAATAAACCCAAATCTTCATCCGGAATCTCATCTCCATCACTTGAGTTACTTCCACACGAATATATGGTGGAAGACTTGGAACTTGAAGCCCTTAACGCGATGGACGTCTTCTCCGTGTCCCTCAAATTTGCTTTCTTATCTTTCTTTTCATGCTTACTTAGATTTGTGAGCTCTTGCTCATGTTCTTGAAGCTTACCAAACAATGTTGTAAGTTCCAATGTTGTTAGATCATTGGCTTCCTTGATTGCCGTGACCTTAGGTTGTCATTCCCTGTTAAGACATCTCAAAATCTTGTTAATAGAAACAACATTGGAAGTAATATGACCAAGTGTGTGTAAGGGATTTATTATGTGAGAAAATCTCTTTTGCATGTCTGCAATGGTTTCACCATGCTTCATGTGAAAGAGATTAAAATCTTGAGTTAATGTGTTAATCCTTGCTAATTTGACATCATTTGTACCCTCATGGGTAACTTGTAAAGCACCCCACATTTACTTAGCGGTAGTACAATGTGAGATACGAAAGTATTCATTAACTCCAAGAGATTATATGAGCATATTTTTAGCTTTCCAGTCATAAACATAGTTTTTCTCATCTTTTTCATCCCATTGTGCTTCCGGTTTAGGCACAACGGCAACAACATTGGTTAACATAATTATGGCCATATGACCTTCTTCTATGACCTTCCAAATTTTTCTATCAACAGAATTAATATGCACACGTATACAATCTTTCCAATAGTTATAGTTTTCATCGGTGAAAATAAGAGCTCTATTTTATGCCCCTTTTGGATCGTTTTCCATTGTCTAAAGAGTTATATGTGAAGCACTAGATAAATTGGTGCTGTGATACCACTCGTTAGATGATAGGACATATCTAGAAGGGGGTTGAATAGATACTTGAACTTTAAAATGAGTTTTTAAACAAAGTTTGAAACACAGTGAAAGTTACCCGGATACACTCTTCTAAAAATGATCCTCTATTGGAAAGACCGGATATGCGTAAAACCAAATGGAATGAATCAATGAGAATTATTAACACTTAACTCAATTATAATTTATCACTTATACTCTTTAACTATTGTCAATTACTTCCAATTAATTGTTGAGAAGAAAACTCACAAATTTGCAGTTTTGGACTTTTATCGAACACTTGGTGTGCGTAGTCACACCAAGTCCAATCTATCTTAATTTGTAGTGTTAAAACCAATTATAGAAATCAAAATGATTACTATAGTCCTTAGAAATAGTTCTATTGCTCTACAAATCCAGACACTTGGAACCACGAGTGCGAATTCACAGATTGTAGCAAATAAACGGTAAAAGGCGAGAAAGAAAAATGACACGCGATTTGTTTAGGCAGTTCCCCTCGTCATCCTCATGTGGGGTACGTCTGCCCTTAATTCTAGAATTTAGAATTAGGATAATTTCTATTATGATTTCAAAGTTTATACAAGAGATATAAAATAGTCAACATAAATCAAACCCAATATGTTGA